TTACAAAACAGAAAACGAGACAAATAAAGCCGAGGATAATAACGATGGAAGCGATTTAGGCCAGGAAAATAAGCTGAAGAAATAACCATCTCACCGCGCTTATCCGCAACAGCCATTCTTGGAAAAACTCCGGAATGTGTTCGTTTACGAGCCGTCTGTTTGGTCTTGAGGACCGGCCGCGGGGCATCCGGGTTATACGGTACATAGAGGATGCCACCTTTACGCAAATGATCCTCATCTAAATACAGCAAAAATAGCCATAAGCCTAGGCTTAAATTGATCGTAACAGCTGCAACACCAGTCGCGAGAAAGCTGAAAGCAACAACACAGAAAGCGAATATCAAGCAATTGAATACCAGGGCTTTCCCAGAAGCAACGTGTGCGTAAGGCAACCAGGTGAACAACGAGCGACTCCATAAAAACCACAACAACGGCAAACACGGCACAATACCTCGCTTTGCTTTTACAGACGGAGTCTCGAAAGACGATGGCTCTTCTTCTGTCAAGTCTGGAGTTCCCAGCTGTCTCTCCGCCTGCGTCTGCGGTTTCTTCGGTGATGGCTGACGGATCTCAACGTCAGGGCTAGCAGGGAATAATCCTCTTCGAGCCTGGCGGCGAACCACAGCAGCATTGCGTCGCAAAATTGTTCGTCGCCGCTGTGCATCATATCGGCGCTGCAAAGCATGAACTATCGCATCTGCCCAACTCGTTGGAGGTTGCTGAGCCTCTGCTGCACTCACCGATCCCGATGACCCAGAAGATTGCGCAGAAAACACTGGTTGGGCGGCGGTACGGCGAGACTCGAGATCGAGTGACACGCGATGAAGAACGGGCTTCATCGCTGTCCGGAGAATAACCAAAACTCAGTCCCGCAGTTGCACGACTCTGGCGCGGTGTACGTGACGCAGTCTTTCGCGCGGTTGGCTTCTTAGCAGGAGGCGACATTTTCAAAACATAAAAGTGACAAATTAAAACACGACGGGGAGAACAGGATACCCTCAATGCCAAAAAAAAAATTCAGAGAATTGAAGAACTGGAGTGCAGTGCAGAGAAAAGCACAACAGACAATCTGTACTGGCACCGACACCGGAAGTACTCACATACCGCACACTGCCCCCGAAGCGGTTGACAGGCGACAGACTAAATTTCAACGATTTCCAAAATTTGAAGTACCTTGCCCGACACAACAACACAGCAAATCCCCTCTCCAGGAAATTTATAATTTTCATACAGTTCCGACCGTTTTTTAACGATTATAACGACCGATAATAGGATAACATCAAGAAAGAGAAACTTAAACAGGAAACGCGCGGCTGGGAAACATTCAAGACACAGGGCCAGAAGTGCGCAGTTTCCGGTAATATTGCCATATCAGGGCGGCTGACACGCGGCAGAATGCCGGCTTCACTAGCACAGAGATATCAGCTGTTCCGACAGTATAACAACGAAGAACCCAAAACATTTATTCTTTTTCGGTGACGGTGTTTTGTTTCTTTTACTAGAACTTGCACTTCTTTTATTGGGTTTAATTTATAATTTTTTGCTAATCATCATGTCGGGAGAGCCTGTAGGACCAGCTGGAGAGCCGTTACCTTCGCCTGAAACGGATGCGATTGCCCACTATGAGTACTGGAAGGGACGAACTCGCGAATCAGTTCAGTTTGCCATGGCGGAGCCTCTACAGCCAAACGAAACCATCCGAGACCGTCGACAATTGGCGATGCATACGGCAGCCCACGCGTGCATTCTTGAAGCTGACATTACGGGATATTACGTGGACATGTCATTTATCAAAAAATTCGTTGTGGAAATGCACGATGATTTCACGGAAGAACGAGTGGATTTCTTCCTCGGCGACGCTATCAACGCTGGTATCTTGCTCAAGAAGATGAGCCGGGACGGGCGCTTTGTCCTAGAAGTCGCCGAAGAAGTCAAGAATAACCGCGATCCAGAGACGAAGGTAATCGACACAACTAGCAAGTTTCGTCGGATGATTCGCGTAATCCTCTACCACGGTCGATACGCCATGTCACGCACCGAAATCCAACACTGGATCTGTACGTTCGACGTACAGTTGCAGGACGTGGACTACTGGCTGGAGCGCGGGCTGCGCCAATTGGTTAACCAGAAACATGTCGTCGTCGTCTACGGGAATCTTTTCGTGGATAGTTGCATCGACCTGTGGCTACGAAGCATCCGGGGCTGCTGTCTCTGCACCACTCTGGCCCAGACCATCAGTGAGTATTTCTATATTTTTGAAGTAGCATTCTTGATACTTACACTTTAAAATAGCACAGCAACGCTGCCTACTGCAAATCACCTTGCCTTCCGTAATTCTAACCAAAACGATTTATTGTAGATATCAAAATGGGGACTATGAAGGTGACAGTCAACGGAAGAGACACGGAACAACACTTTGCCGATTGCAGCTTCGGTTACGTGGGACAAGACGGGGATTTGGTTGTCGATGGCGTCATGGAGCGGCTGGACGCAATCGAGCCCGAGAAGAACAACACCACCAACGTAAATCTGGTAATCCGGGCTAGCAAAGACGGACGCATCGAGCGCGAACCAATTATCACGCTCACTCAGCTGAAAGCTATGGGCGGCCGTCCTAAATATGTCCCCCGATCTAAGAACACGGATACCGAAAAGAAAGGCCAGAAGACCAAGGAGAAGGCCGAAAGGCCTGACAATGAAGTGAGCACTGCAAAACCGGATGCTATGAAAAAGCCCGACGCAATCGACAAATTACTAGAACAAGTTGAACGCGAGAAGGATATTATGGATAACTGCAAGGCGCTGGTAAACACGCTGAAGGCTCGAGCGACCATGGATGCTAAACATATCGCGTATATCCGTGAGGCTCTAGAACAGCGTCTTGCGAACTTGGAGACTGCGAAGGAGAATCTAGATCTGGACTAAATAACAGTGTTGTAACGAATGCGTATAATGCGTTTCCCGCGGCTATTTGATGATTTGAATCTGATTTTCGGCCGACTTTTGTTTCTTCCGTTTAATGTTTTGATCTCGTTGAATTAATCTCATCAGTGTTTTAACAGGCAACTGTCATAATTCCGTACAAATTCTCATATAGTCGTTAATCTTGCTGGTCGGACAGATCTTAATTCGAGTTTTAATTTAGATTTTATGCAGCATTTGAATAACCGCAATAAAGTCAGTGTAACAGAATACGCAATCATAACAAGAGTGAATTCCAGTACAGAGTGAGAAATTAACAGCTTAAAATCAATTATCACACCTGGAACCGTGAATCAAATGCTAAAAACAATTTTAATATTCCATCTTGGGAATAAAGTTACAGAAACCACCATGGAAAAGTAAAAAGAATAGAAAAGAACTTTTAAAACTTGCAAAATGTGTATTCACGCAGGATTGAACCTTGCATCTAGGTGGACAACTAAATCCTGCTCTTGCCCATACGCTAGCATGGCTATACCACATTTTACTTTTAATTTGGCAATCACTGGAGGCGCTGTACTACGAAAATTCACAATATAGTGAAAATTCACCGCTGCAGCAGCTGATAAATTTAAGATTTCACCACCATCATGATCGCAGAATTCATGCCGACAATGGAAATATTTCCACAAGAGTGACAGTAAAAATATAAAGACAAAAAAGTAGGATGTTAGAAAATGCAGTTTTAATTTCAAGGGGTTTCGAACCCGCAACCTTCATTGCACCTGTTGTTGTGGTTCAACAGTTCAGTGCACTACGCCACTATACTACGCTGTTCTACGACAGACATTTTGAATTCGCTCATCGGAAATGGTCGAAAAATTACAGCGGTCAACGGCAATGCGTATTCGATGGCACTGTGACATTATAAAACGCAAAAAAGAAGGTTTAAAGAAATGTGCATTACTTGCAAGGGTTTCGAACCCAAGGCCCTAAATTGACCGAGTCGTAGCGGAGACAAGGCGGACAACCACTACACTACGAAGTCTCACAGCAAAACACGAAAATCCGCACGGGAAAGGTTGTACAACTATGTGCCGCTCGCTGAAAACTAATAAAGAATTAACGGTATCACAACGAATGTGTAAGTACAACCAAATGCAAAAGTTTAGACACGAAAAAGAAGGTTTTAAGAAAATGCTTTTAAATTTTTGTGGATTTGAACCCAGGGCCAGCAGTAGGTAAACGGATTCGCCTGGTATTGTCCTCACAGCTTAACCGGTCGACTACAAGAGTCATCGGCAAAAATAGCACTAATAACACTGCTTACGGTGTTAATACTCGTATCGACGCCTCTCAACGGTGATTCACCCAATATTTCGCATATTAAGTCCCATGAATAAAAATATAATAATTGACAGAATAAGATCCAAAAAGAAGGATATTTAGAAAATCGCATTTTTATGTGGACTGGAACCTCCGACCTCCAATGACGAAGCAACGGAAGCCACTACTATACCAGCGGGGTCGCTCTACGTAAAATATTGGAAAACATCAGCACCGAAAGCGTACACAAACACCAGGCAATAGTGCATTGTGCCAGTGAGCCATCAACCTGGGCAGCCAGTTACATAAAAACCCGTACAACATCCTAACGAAAGTGTATCCTCGTGCGGTTATGCATTACATTGTCCAAAAATTACCAACAGACCGCACGGACGGTAACTACCTAGACTTTATTGAGGCCGCAACTCGCATGGTAACGAGACAACAAAAGTAGCTTGCGGAACGAAGCGCAAAAATCATAATGTACCAGCTAAACAGTGTACAACACCTATGGCGAAACGCAACCTTGAATAACGAAATAAACTAACCGCAAAACAATAAAAATACAAGATAAAACGCTGCGCCAAATCTGCATTATGAGATCTCATAAAACGCATGAGCGTGCACATAAAAGAATGAAGGCAAGGAGATCATAGACGTGAAGCGATGTTTCAGGCATTCCGTACAAAATACCAAACATTCTAACAATAGTGGCGAAATCCACATCGAAAAGTCCGCCGGACAATGCCACATCAAGAAATCTTAGGGGGGAGCTTGGATACAGCCTCCTTGACGGCAATTCTGCCACGCTCAAAACGTTGCTGGGCTTCTGTGCGTTCAGCCATCTTCTGAGCGACTATCTCCGTCCATGCCGTAACACGATTCTCCAGCGCCTGCTTGGCCGCTTTCTTCTTCTCCGAAGCCGGAGGAGTCATCGTGATTTGACAAATAACCACAGTATCACAGATTGCACAAATAAACTTAAGGCAGCGGGATCAGCGGAATAAGATTACGGTAATTGTAAACAATTAAATTAAAATAAAAAATTCATACTGGGATACATTCAGATCAACATATGGCAACCGCCCACACTGGCGACCGCATACTTCGTAAGCTGCGAAGTCCAACCGAATCAAAATAACACACAAATCTACGGCAGAACGTGTATACAACCGGAGTGCAGCAACGGTACCGAGAGCGTCAGAAACTCTGCTAGTGTAGGTATATTGACTGAATATACACTCATCAATTTACCACTTTAGCTGAAAACTCAAATCTTTATTCCTTACGTTTTAATTCTTTCTCCTCTTTACACCTTACGCATTTATGACATTACAAAAAACATTGGCTAAATTATACAGTCATACAAAACTCACAGAACACTGAGCCATAATGGACTCAATCACAACTATTGAGAAGAGCAAGACAGCGCTCATTTAAACATTCAAAACGCGGCAGCCGAAAAATTATACACCAAAAGCATGCCACACTGAGACATTAATAGAAACGCAGAAAAGCAGAAAACAGCTAGAGATTTAAAGAAAGAGGCCCATACAGTTTAAATCATCGAGCTGTAATTTAAACACACAAACGGCCGATCGACAAAAGTCCTCACTTCCAAAAGGGAATCGAATTCCACGCAGAGGATGACGCTGCCCAAAAATGCGCTTGCGTTCCTTCTTCGGTTTCTGGATGATGCCGAAGTCTTCGTCCTGCCATAACATGTCCACGGGCAAAAATTCAACCGGATCCTTAAAATCCAGTTTGTGCTCTGCCCACCAGTCATCCACATCTAAGTCTGGCTCTTTCCAGTCCTCCAGATTGCCAGATCCCCAGATATTTGGAACAGGCTCATCGTCCAAGGTGTACAACATACGGCCGCAGGAACCCGGACCATTATTTTCGCAGTCAACACAACAGAGTTCCTCCTCCATCACACGCTTGTTGTGTTCCAGCATGCGCTGGTGACGCTCACGCGAAGTTTCTGGCGGGTTAAATAGGGATGGCAAACCACATTCCTTCCGCAGACGTTCAGATGCTTCACGTCGAACTGGAGTATCGGGATACAGAATAAACCCGATCGTTAAGTAATACATCTGTGACTCCGACTTGCGGATGTTCTCAATCTCCAGAGCCACCTGAGCCTCGAAATCCAGTGGCTCGGGTTCTACAAAATTCAAAGCCATGATTTCCGAGTTAGAGAGTCTGCACAGTTCTCTGATAGGAATGTACGGAGCATCAAGCGAACGCCACAAGTGCACAAACTCAAAAATGTGTTCCTGGTTCGCCAGAACATAAGCAACAGAGTCAGAAAATTTCACAAACTTACGGCGCTTTTGCTCATCTTGCTCGGCACAAATCATACGCCCGCGCTCTGATTTATAAAATTCCATCTCCATAGTATGAAAGAGCAGAGATTTAAACCAGAACAAATGACGACAAAGTCTGTAAAATTTAAAAGCTGCAGCTAAAAATGTAAAAAGCAAGAGTGAACAGGAAAACCGCTGACACACCGCAGCTGTGCAGACCGGAAGCAGCTGCGGACAATGTGACTGCCACTGCCCTAACATTTAACGACACACGGGCGGTTGCTACAGTGACAAAATTGTTTACATGTTCAAACGTGAAGACTTGCATTTTAAACTGTCATTTTGTATGTTAAATCGTTTTCCGTCAGATTATCTGCCACATTCTGATTTAAAACAACCGGAGAAGTCCGATTTGAACCGATTTATTGCTGAACAGCCAAATCTGCGTTCCAGAGAATGAATGGTAAGCCAGTTCGTAGAATAGCTGCACGTTGCACAGGCTGTAAAAATAACGTTAAAGATCTAATTGTAAACGGAAAACAGGTTCTGTACAGAATTCAATAGACTTGGAGTAAAATGCTCAACACTAAAGATAATGCTCCTCCGTCAAACGAAAAATACAGAAGCTAAACTAAAAAGGGTGCTAAAACAGGGCTGTAATTGCAGGGAAAAATCATCATTACACCGCAGCGCCCATGTTATCGTCGTCGTCATCACGGCGTGGACGGTGGCGTTTAGCAATTGAAGCATCTAGTTTGCCCGGGCCACGCTTCTCCTGTCCTTCACGTAACAGCCAACGAGTTTGTTGCAGTTGCTGCTGTTGACGGGATGACGAGCGCGGATCCGCTGCATTCAGACGATCGAAATAGCGCTGCTCTGCTTCCAAACGGTGATCCTCGTCAATATTGGAAACCAACTCCTCGATATGCTGATTATACGCGTCCACGAGCGTAACAACGGCACCATGGTCTCCCGTTTCCCGGGACATAATCCAACGCAGTGAGAAACTCGACAGGATTGCGCACCACGTTGATGCCGAAGTTCCGACGGAGTTCACACACAATTTGCCCGATGAGCCATCCTTGTCGGAAATCCACACGCAGGTAACGTAACAATGCATAGTGTGCGTCCTTTGACAGATCTAGAGTGTGGACAAAGCGGTTATATTTGTCCACCGTCATCTCCGATCCATTATGGTAAATCTTGCCGCGAAAACGCAATCGAGTTTCAGGATGCAGCTCCACATAATCTCTGTCCGGATTGTAGGGACAATTAATCAAACCAGACGGGGGAATATAACTCTTTCCTCCACGGGCATAGTCGTGCGGAGACGGACGAAGGCCACAATCCACCATGCAATGAGACCATTCAAATGTTGGTTCAGGCCATCCAACATGAGGATCGGGGTACATTGGCGGCTGAACATCGGCCAAGACATCTGCCAAAACCTGCACCGAATCCTCCGAGGAACTCGTAGTATCCTCATGCGTGAAGGAATGATGTGCTGGCATTTTCGGGCGATACATTATAGCGGTATGGAGTTATTTCAACCGTAAAATCAGTGTAGAGAAGGAACAAATTCACGCAAGATTGAGAGTGAATTAATGAATGCCACTGATCTTTACAGGTAAAATCGCATTTGCGGCCAGCTAAAAGCAGCTTTTCCACGCAGATGATATGCCGAAAGAGCAACGAACGCTACTACGTCACTGCGGACTGTCCAATGGCGAATACACACCGTCAATCTGTACGTACAAAACAGAGTTTGGGAATTTTCCAGACAGCTTTAATGCATTAAGGAATAAAAATTTCGATTCTTGGAGTTCAAAATAAAATAAAATAAAGTAAATGTACAAATTTACACGGCCGCTCGGCCTGTTTAATCGTTATTGCATAAGGTACAGATTTTATGAAATTAATACAGTCACGTCTCATTTCCGGCCAGAAAACCGAAGACTTCTTATACAAGTAATCATACGGCGTAATATTACTGTTATACTTATGCAACAACCGCCGATGTACAGACTCCACTAAAATTTTACGCCATTGATAAGGAATGAGAATTTTGGGTACTCTTTTGCAATGTCCTGTTTTTCTCCGTAATGGCAAATAATGCCTTTTACTTTCAGAACCAAAGGAAGATGCCAGGCCGCGTATGCAGATTCCTCAAGAGTGCAGTCTCCATCAACAACGGCGTCCCACAACATCATGTCACTACACTCCATCTGGCGATACCTCCAGAATTCCTGCTTATCAAGGGCGTCATCGGATATTACACCTTGTGGCCAAAACTGCTCAATTGGGCGTGCCCAAGCCGGAACTGGGAGAGTTCTGTCTTCTACAACCGCAGAAGAAGTTTTTACTGGCTGTGCCGGCCCAATCTCCATTGCGTTACAAGTTATTGGCGAAGTATCACTGGCCAACAGTTCAGCTGGTTGGGATTGGCCCCCTCCCGGCTGGGATACATTCGGAATAGCTGGTTCTCTATCATTTGTGGCCATGCGCTTTTTAGCATCGGCCGACGGGTCTCTTTTACGCTTTTTGTCGTTCATCTGGTTCACAAGTCTTTCCACAGGTTTCACCACACGCCCGGAGCGGGTTTTAAGTAATGGAACCGCTTCCATCTGGTTATCCAGATATTCAGCGTACTCAGCATCAAGGCGCGACGATGCTGAATCAACGGATGGAATCACCGGCGGCGGCGCGGGCGCCTCAACTAACTCATCGGGGCATTCCTTCTCCACACAATCGAGCAACTTCGGTAAGTGCTCGTCTTGCAGAATAGTATCGACGTCGCGGAAATTATACGGCTTTAAACGGCTGACATGTACAGTGTCAGTTTTGACATTTCCGCGCCGGTTACTTTTTACTACATAATGCACTGGCCCTGACTGACGCACAATTTCCCATCCAGCAGTCCAACGGGGCATAAGGGATGGATTTTTCCCCACTTTTCGATGTAACACGTATACCAAAACTTGATCTCCCGGTTTATACGATACATGTGAAATATTTGCATCGTAACGAATTTTGTCCTTAAGTTTATGGCGAAACTCTTCTGCATTCACCAAGTCCAGGGCCTCACCAAGGCCGCGCTGCATCTGCTGTACGTATACATGGGCGGGAATCACAAAATCCTCTTCAAACGGCAGGAAGTTATTTATCGGTAAGCGCATCTCGGTGCCGTGCATCATGAAGAATGGTGAGCGGCCCGTTCGCTCCACAACCTTACTGTTAAATGCAGCACAAAGTGCTGGGAGGAATATATCCCAGTCACTTTGCTGCTCATTCATACTTCGCTAGCGCCTTTGATTTCCCCTACGCGTTTTTCAACCAGACCGTTACCCTGCTGGTGGCCTGATGCCGTCGGCGCGTGAGCAACACCAGCGAGAGCGAGAAGCTCTCGAAACATCTCAGACATAAAGTTACTGCCGCGGTCTGAAGTGATGTGTACAGGCATACCGAAGACTGTGAGAATGCGGCGATAAAAGAACAATGCCAATGTGGCTGCGTCATTTCTCTCGACTGCCTCAGCCACAATGTATTTGCTCCCGTAATCAACAGCGATTATTATGTTTTTATTTCCAGATTCCGTCGTTGGGAGGGCCGGAGCAACATCGATGGCCCAAACTAACCGAGGAGGAACCGTCGGATTGGACTGGAGAGCACCGGCCGGTGCCGTAGCAAGAGGATTTTGTGCAAGGCACGCCGGGCAAGAAGCGCACAGTAACTTTTTAACAGACTCGAACATACGAGGCCAATAAAAATACTTGTACATCCTTTTATAGGTGGCCAGGACGCCCAAGTGTGCTGCTAACGGGGAATCATGGTTGTCCTGAAGGAACTGGAGCCGCCAGTGAACAGGTACATACATGCAGTAATAGATCTTCCGGTTTAATTCGAACTTGTAGTATACCACGCCCTGTTTCACCACAAATTTGTTTAGATGTAATTTCTCGTGGTCTGACATCTTTTCCTTTTTATTCTCTAGGAGCAGTCGCCATCGGACAATTCTCGCGTCTCGGGACTGTTCCTCAGCCCAGTATGAGGCCTTGTCATCCGTAATCAACTTTTGGACTTTATCTGCGTCAAATGCCTTCATGTCTGCCTCGGACACTTTCCCACTTCCGCCGACATCATTTCAAAGCGGATGTCCACATAATCTCGCTCCAGAACCGCGAAGCAACATTCAATCATCGCCATATCACCGGCGAAAGGGTAAGTTTGCCGATAATCAAACTCGACATCCGAATCGTCGGAGTCGGGTTCCGGTTGCTCTCCTGGATTTCTACTCAAGGCGTCAGCAATAACATTCTCTTTGCCAGGTATGTGTACCGGTTTAGTATTAAATTGCTGGATATACAACGCCCAGCGCCCAAGGCGGCCAGCGGCATCGCGCATATTATTTAAAAACACTAATGCTTGATGATCCGTTTGTACTTCGAACTGATAATCGGACAAATAATGTTTCCATTTCTTTAAAGCACAGATAACTGCGTAAGCCTCAAGCTCAGTAGGGAAGTAGAGCCTTTCTGTGTTTCAGTCAACTTGCGGCTTAGATACGCGATAGGACGCCAATTTGTCGGCACATCCGTCGGTTTATCCTTGGGACATTGCATAAGAACTGCACCCACAGCAATAGTACTGGCATCGACAATAACTCGCGACAAAGCCTCCGGGTCATAACGGGCCAAGACCGGCGCCGTCACCAAGGCCTCCTTCAATTGTTCCACAGACCTACACTGATCCGTTCCCCATTCAAAGGTAACTTTTTTAGGAATCAACTTTTGAAGCGGCTCCGCAATCTCTTGAAAATTCTTAATAAATTGGCGATAATATCCCACCATACCTAGGAACCGTAATATATCTTTTTTGTCTTTTATAGGACCAAATTCTTTAACCGCCTGGATCTTCTCTGGATCAGTACTGATACCGAACTGGTCAACCGTGTGACCCAGGAACGTTATTGAATTTACAAATAATTCTGTCTTTTCAGGATTAATGGTCCAGCCGCATTCCTGGAGCCGCAAAAAGAGCTCCTGTAAATCTCGCATATGATCAGCCAGGTTTTTACTGAAGACAATAATGTCATCAATAAAAACTAATACGTTCCTCCACTTCATGTTCGCAAGCGTCAAATCCATGGCGC